TCTCAACCAATCCAGTAGGTCTGGTGTGTGTTCGTCTCTTTGTTTCTAGCAGGCATTTGAGGCTCCAGTCCACATTTTCCTCCCACTCTACCAGGGTCCATCTTTTGTGGCCAGGGTTCAAATGGTTGCTGGCTATACTTTTAAGCTAAAATTGCTAAAAGATTGATTATTTTTTGAGAATTTCTGAATTAGGAATACTATTTCATGTAGATTGTGGCTATAATTGTCACTTTATTTAAAGTATAAAAACATGTTTTCTTACCACAGTCTCTTAAGGCCACCAGGGAATATATCAGGTTTATAAGCATATAAATGAACAACATCCTCTGTCGTTAGTTGCTACCAAGTCATGTCTAACTCCGAGCCTCCTGCATGCAGAGTAGAACTACTTGACATCACTACCTGTTTTTGAATGACCTACAAACCAAGAAGAATGGTAGTTGATGACATGTAAAAATGATATCTACTCGTGTTTCAGGGTCTCTAAATCATTTTTTGGAACACAGGCATATCACTTTCATCCATGTGTTACCTGTGGTTGTTTGAGTGCTATGAGCCACCTAACAGCAACCCAAGAGTCATTGTGACAGAAGCTATGGTGGCCCATAAAAGTCTAAAATATTCCTTTCCTAGCTGGCCCCCTACAGAAAATATCTGCCTGACCCCTAACCTAAAACACTGGAACTCTAACATGTCTCAAGGTGGTGCTGGGACTATCCAACCTTTTGTTCCCTGGGATACGGGATGATGGGATAGCTGGGACATGGAATCAGCTCCACAGCAGTGGGTTCAGAAAAGGAAGATCGATTGATTCCTTGACCTAGAAAGGTCAGATCAGACAAGAGTCTGGGAGAATGGGGAAGGGAGGCCGAAGACCCAGAGGTGTGATCCAACCAGTGACCCTTTCATGGATGAACCAGAAACAATCTCCCCCCAAATGTGGCATACACCCTGGTCTTCTACAAAGTGACTTGTGGTCCAGATGAACTCTCTACCCCTTCCAGCATCCTCAGTTTTCCAAAGTTACTTCCGTCTGTGTCTTCTCTCTACCCTTCCTTCACTCAGCCACCACTGGCTCCTCCTGAAACCCTATCCTAACTTCCTACAACACCTTCCCAGAAGTATGTAAGATGAAAAAGCTTAGCTATAGATGAAAATGTTTCGCTCAAAAGAATGTGCAACTGGGGTGGTCTTCTAGGAATAGGGGTGAGAGGTTCATTAATGGACACAGGACAGATTTGCCTTTCTATTAGACTGTATGGGGAGCATGCAGAGCTGTCTTCCATCATGATGTGAATTGCACGTTTCCCCAGTTATATTTTGGTGGAGTCATTTAAACAAATACACTCTTTCAGAGTTCTAGAGGAAAAAAAGAACTCTTTAGGGCTGCCAGCCAATTTGCAACCTTTTAAGTTGACGATTTTCCAAACCAGATGTTTTCTACCCAGCTTTTCTTTTTCTTTTTGGAAATACGGCAACTTGGAATGATTTAATTTCCCAGCATTCACTCCCTGTACATTTGGAGTGTGTTGCTGAGATTCTACCTCGAATCCTTTGAGTCCCTGGGGCTTTGGGCAGGAGCCACATCACAGTGAGCCAAGGCCCTCCCCTCTCACCTGTAGGCTTCCTGGAGCCTCTGACAATGAAGGGCGGCAGGGCCATCCTTCTCCAGACCCTGAGCACTTCAAGTCTTTTCTGAGCTGACCAATCAGAGCCTCCTCTCTAATGGTGAGCACTCTCCAGCTGGGAAAGGGCCAGGCCAGGAGCCAGGACTGAGGCTGAGAAGTCACAGGAGCGCAACCACCTCTGGCTTATGTATATGTGATGGGGCTGTGACCTTCAAACACATGCCAGTGAGGCCTTGCCACGTGAGCCTCACGAAAAGAGAGGCAGAGAAAGTGAAAGAGAGAGTGTAATTCTGACCCTCTCCAGCCAAGTTTTGGGACTCATACTGTCCATTAGAAATAGAATTCAAGTCATGTGTTGACTTTTAAATTTTCTATTGGTATGTTGTAAGCTGCCATTAAGTCAGCTCCGAACTCGTGGTAACCCCATGCCCAATAGAACTCCATACCACCCAGGCTTACACCGCCCCCTTACTGGCTCTGGCTAAGACCATGGTGCTTCCTAGGACTTCCCTGGGCTGACGTTTATTGGGGGGGGGAAGGGCGGGTTAGGCCTTTCTTTCTAGTTCCACTGTCGTCTGGAGGCGCCTTAGAAATGTGTTTAGCAACACGTACAGCCCCACTGACAGAAACGGTGACTGAACTCGCGATCTTAGAGAGGGAGATGAACAACAGAAATGTGGGTGAAGAGAGACAGCAGTCAGTGTAAGATGTGAAAAGAATCATGATGGATAATGCATCAAGAGGTCATGAGGGTGGGAGGCGGGGAGAGAGTGAAAAGAGAGGAGCTGGGGAAAAAAAGAGAGGAGCTGGTAGCCAAGGCTCAAATAGAAAGTGAATGTTCAGAAACAGATGATGGCAACCTATGCGCAAATCTGCTTAATACAATTGATGTATAAAGTGTTGTAAGAGCTGTAAGAGCCCCCAGTAAAATGATTTTTTTTTAAAGGAGGGGGATTGGAGAGGTCATACCATGCAACTAAATTAATATGATTTTCACATAGATAAAGGATCAATGCACTATTTTTTATCCTTTTTTCTGCACTAAGTCTCCCAAATCTGGTGTTTATTTTACACCAACAGCATTTTGACTTACATGTTAAATTATAACTGGAAATACTTGATCCCCATTTAGGTCTTATAAATCTATCATTGACAACACAGATTCCCATACTTCCGTGGCATACTTAAAAGGATTCCAAAAAATGAGATGGAGTTAGTGGATATTGCATGGGACAGCACAGCTTTAGACTTGAAAACCTTAGTGCTAAAAAGGGCCTTGAACATCTCCCCTTCAGGGGAGAAATGAAGATGCTGAGACCCAGACACGTGAAAAGGTGTCCCCAGGACTTCCCAGAAAGTGGCTGTGAAGCCAGTCTCCTGGAATCCTCATCTGCTGCTCTTTCTACTTCACGGTGCTTGTAACAGGTGCTAAGGCAATTACTTAAATGGCCGGCTCGACCTTGACCCCACATTCACCAAGACCCTAGGATGGTTGGCACGGGGGTCATCTGCTTGCTGTGGTCAAGGTGCAGCGATGCCTCTCAGATGCCTAACTGGCGCTGTCTTTGTCTCCCCACCTTTCTCCATGCCTGCCCCGTCATCTCCTGGTTCCTGCCCACAGCAATACTTCATCCTGCTGATCCTGACAGACGGCGTCATCACCGACATGGCCGACACCCGGGAGGCCATCGTGCACGCCTCCCACCTGCCCATGTCGGTCATCATTGTGGGAGTGGGGAACGCCGACTTCAGCGACATGCAGATGCTGGACGGGGATGATGGCATCCTGAGGTCCCCCAAGGGCGAGCCCGTCCTTCGAGACATTGTGCAGTTCGTGCCCTTCCGGAACTTCAAACACGTACGCACAGAGCGTGCCCACCTCCCACATTCTCTGCCTGTGTTGGTAGCAATTGGCCATCTTCAGGCAAAATACCACCTCTCCCTGCGCGGTTGGGCCATCAACCACAGCATGCACGTGTAGAGCTGAGTCTTGGGAGAAAGAAACATGATGTGAATTAGAGATGAGGAGTCATGCTTGGGAAGAGAGCCAGACTTCCATGGGCACCTGCCTTGCTCCAGGGACCCTGGAACAGTGCCTTGGTTAAAGCACCCTGCTGCTAAGCAAAAGTTCAGCCGGTGCTCTGGGAGAAAAAATGTGGCAATTTGTGTCAATAGATATGTACAGTCTTGGAAACCCAATGGGCAGGTCTGTTCTGTACAATGGGGTTGCTATGGGTCGCGATAGATTCAGGGGTGGGTGTTTGGCTTTAGTTTGGGTTTGCCTTCTTTCAATATCATTCAGGATCTCTCTTGTGGCACAGTTGGATAAATATTGGGCTCACAGTCTCAACGTCTGCAGTTCAAACCCTCCAGCCACCCCTCAGAGAGAACGATAAAGCCATCAGTTCCAGTCAAGATCGAGTGCTATTGGGAGCGCTATCTAGGATCACAAGGAGGCAGAATCTACCCAAGAATAGTGGGTTTGGTTTGGGGTTTTAGTGCCCCCAGAGCTGTCCTACACAATTGGGTAACTTGTTACTTGCCTAAGGAGCCTGGCGGAAGAAACAAGGCCTGGCTTCTGTTGTCAAGCCGTGTGTGTGAATGTGTGTGTGTGTATTTACCTTGGCAAATTTTATTTTCAAAACGTTTTAAAGATCCATATCTCTTACAAATGTGGCATTAGCAGCAAATTTTTATTTAACTTATTAATGAGGGCTGATAAAACTCATTCTAAGGAGGGTAGAGTAAATTTGCTAAAGTTGATTTTAAACAGATTCTGTTTCAAAACCAGAATCTTTGACTACCTTCCTTGCTAAGGGAGCCCCTGATGATATAGTGGTTATGTGTTGGGCTGTGAGCCCTGTGGTCGGCAGTTCAAAACTACCAGCAGTTCCGAGGGAGGAAGGCTGGGCTTTCCATTCCTGGAATAGAAACAGCCTGGAATCCCACAGGGGTCACTGGCGTTGATGGCAGTAAGTTTGGGGTTTTGTTGGTCACTGCTAGGCAGAACTCATTTTCATCTTATCAGTTATCCATCAGTGCACCTCTAATTTGGTAGACTTGGTCTCCCCAATCAAGGAGAGCTAGTAAGTTCAGCAATACTCTCTTCTCTCTTTGCTAGATGTCCCTGGTGTGGGCCCATTAGACAATACTCTAATAATGATGTTGGAAGTGTTCTTAATAACCATTTGTCCACATTCCCAAATTTGGGATCATTTTTAACTCCATGAAGAAAGGAACAACTTTAAAAGCCCCACAAAGCCACGCGCCTATGGGACACCCTTTCTAGTGTGTTCAGAGACTCCCTCTGGACTCGGGTGGCCTTCAGGGTCGCACCCTTGAGTGGCTGGGAGTCCTCAAGGGACTTGGGGTTGGACACAGTCCTCCATACTTGCTGTCCCTGATGATCTGAGTCACTAGTGCTGCCATGACAACAACAGCAAAAACCACCCTGGTTTTAAAGTAGGACTTTAAAGAGCAGGAATTCATTGCCTCAGAGTTCTAGAGGGGAGAAATCGGAACTCAGAGCAAGGGCTCCAGAGAAAGGTCCTCCTTAAGTCTCACGCGACTTCTGTCTTCCGTGTGTGTGTGTGTGTGTGTGTGTGTGTGTGTGTGTGTGTGTGTCCATGTCT